AGCGAGTCTCCTGTTCAAGTGAGTGAATCTTCAGGTCAAGTGAGCGCTGAATCTTCTCTTCAAGTGAGCGCTGAATCTCCTCTTCAAGTGAGCGCTGAATCTCCTCTTCAAGTGAGCGCTGAATCTCCTCTTCAAGTGAGCGCTGAATCTCCTCTTCAAGTGAGCGCTGAATCTCCTCTTCAAGTGAGCGCTGAATCTCCTCTTCAAGTGAGCGCTGAATCTCCTCTTCAAGTGAGCGCTGAATCTCCTGAATCTCCTCTTCAAGTGAGCGCTGAATCTCCTCTTCAAGTGAGCGCTGAATCTTCTCTTCAAGTGAGCGCTGAATCTCCTCTTCAAGTGAGCGCTGAATCTCCTCTTCAAGTGAGCGCTGCATCTTCTCTTCAAGTGAGCGCTGCATCTTCTCTTCAAGTGAGCGCTGCATCTCCTCTTCAAGTGAGCGCTGCATCTCCTCTTCAAGTGAGCGCTGCATCTCCTCTTCAAGTGAGCGCTGCATCTCCTCTTCAAGTGAGCGCTGCATCTCCTCTTCAAGTGAGCGCTGCATCTCCTCTTCAAGTGAGCGCTGCATCTCCTCTTCAAGTGAGCGCTGCATCTCCTCTTCAAGTGAGCGCTGCATCTCCTCTTCAAGTGAGCGCTGCATCTCCTCTTCAAGTGAGTGAGTTGTCCAGCCCTGTGACGCGCCGCCGCAGGAGGAGGAGAAGGAGGACTCGTTTGGTTCGCCAGGCCCCGGTGAGCGTGCCCAGACTCCTCGCCCTGCCGGCCCCGCCTCTGCGCCTCGCCCTGCCGGCCCCGCCTCTGCGCCTCGCCCTGCCGGCCCCGCCTCTGCTCCTCGCTCTGCCGGCCCCGCCTCTGCTCCTCGCTCTGCCGGCCCCGCCTCTGCGCCTCGCTCTGCCTGCACCCTTCAAGCTCCGGGAGGCCTTTCCTGTACCCGTTCACCACCCAGAGGTTCCTCCCGTGAATTTCCCCAAGTATTTTTTTGGGGGGGGGGGCAGTAGGTACTCTGTGGGGGCCATGGAGGCGGCACTGACATGGACCGCACCTGAGTCTGCTCCGCCCTGGCCTCTGCCTCGTCCTGCTCCGCCCTGGCCTCTGCCTCGTCCTGCTCCGCCCTGGCCTCTGCCTCGTTCTGCTCCGCCCTGGCCTCCGCCTCGTCCTGCTCCGCCTTGGTCTCCGGCCCAGTCTGGTATGCCCATGCTCTGCGGCCCAGGCCCGCCTTGGCTACCTCCTGGTCCTGTTCCCCTGCACGGGCCTGGCCCTCCGTCCCTCCCCTGGGATCACCTTCACTCTGCCCCCCGCCTGGATCGTTCTAGGAGCGTCTGGAAGCCGCTCCTTAGAGGGGGGGTTATGTGACGATCTGCGGCTGGAGTGCCCGCTTGAGCCTCTGGGGGGCACTCCTTCCTAGTTTATTGTTTCATTCATGTTTTACCCTGGACTGATTATGGTTTATTTCATGCACCTGTGTTTTATCATCTTGTTTAGTTCACCTGTTTTAAGCCCTGTGTTTCTGCCCTGTCTTTGTTGGTTGTTGAATTTATGTGTGTTACGTTGGTGCTTTCACGTCTCTCGAGTCTTGCTTCTAGTGTCTTGTTTTAAGTTTGTTTAATAAAGCTACACTGCGTTTGGACCCAGCCTCAGCTCTGTTTCTCCGCACAGCGTCACACTTACTCTCATTTCTAATTTTGTTAGCTCGTTTTATGGTAATTTATATCAATCTAATTTTAACAGAGAAGAAAGTGTACGTTTTGTTTGCTATGAAGAAAGGTAAATCTCCCGGGATAGATGGGCTAGGAGCAGAGTTCTATATCCATTTCTGGGAGCTTATTCAACTTCCTTTAATGCACATGTATAGGGAGTGTATTGATCAAGGGGAAATGACCACAACAATGAAGCAAGGCATTATTTCTTTAATCCCGAAACCTGGTAAAGACCCTCACTTAATCGATAACTGGCGTCCAATCACATTATTAACTATAGATTATAAAATTCTGGCCTCTGTATATGCAAATAGATTAAAATCTGATTTAAATTCAATAATTGCAGAAACTCAAACAGGCTTCATGAAAAACCGCCACATTAGCAATAATATAAGACTCGTTTTAGACTTGCTTGACTATGCTGACAATATTGATTCTGACGCCTTCGCTTTGTTTCTTGATTTTTACAAAGCGTTCGATACAATCGAACACCCTTTTTTAATACAATCCATCAAAGCATTTGGTTTTGGAAACCGTTTCGTCAACATTGTCAGTATGTTTTATAAAGATATAAACAGTTCTGTTATCATTAATCAAAATACTTCTCCACGATTTCAGATTAATAGGGGGGTTAGACAGGGGTGCAACATTTCTCCCTTTTTATTTATCTTAGTAACTGAACTACTAGCTATACACTTAGTAAAGGAAGTACATTTTGAAGGAATAAAGATTTTTGGAAAGGAAATAAAGATCTCACAGCTGGCGGACGACACCACCATTTTTTTGAGCAACAAGGACCAGTTGACCATTGTCTTTGAACTGGTGGAGAAATTCTCTTCTGCGTCTGGTTTAAGGCTTAATCGTTCCAAGTGTGAGCTGTTGCCTCTTCATTGTTGTGGTGACTCCGCTATTTATAACATTCCAGTTAAACAGACTGTAAAATATTTAGGTATACATGTATGTAAAAATATTATAGTTAGACAGGACTTAAATTTTTCGAATAGAATCCAGAAAACCAAATCAATATTCAATTGCTGGTTACAAAGAGACTTATCCGTTTTAGGTAGAGTATTACTCTCCAAAGCAGAAGGCCTTTCTCGCTTTGTTTATCCGTCCTTGTCTCTTTTTGTAAAGGACTCAATTGCCCAATCAAGTCAACAAGACTTTCTTAGATTTCATTTGGAAGAACAAGTCTCATAGGCTTAAAAAAAATTTTCTCTCTAACCCTAAAGAAAAGGGAGGTCTAGAGATTTTGGATTTTATAGATGTAGTCAACACATTCAAAGTTAACTGGTTAAAAAGGTGCATTCAAAATCCTGATTCGATTTTTTTCTTTATTCCAAATTTTATTTTTAATAAACTGGGTGGGCTTTCGTTTCTTTTAAGGTGTAATTTTCTGCAAAATAAATTACCTATCAAATTGTCCAACTTCCACCAACAGTCCCTCTTGGCCTGGAAATGATCTTTCAGTCACAAGTCACAACTTCTCACCACACAAATCTCTCCTTTGGAGCAACAGCGACATTCTTATTAGGAATAAATCAGTATTCTTCCCTAAGTGGTTCGATAGAGGTATTAACCATATACTCTGCTTATTTGATGATTCTGGCTCCATGCTCTCTTATGAACAGTTTATGGTAGCTCACGATTTCCCAGTACCCTTTAAAGAATTTAAATCTATCACTGATGCCATCCCTAGTGGAATCAGACAATTAATGAAATATCATCTGAGCTATGGAAACAAAGATATCAGAGAGTTTTCTCTTATGTTGGATGGGGTAAGACTGTCTGATAAAAAGTGTAATAATAAACACATTCGCCGACATCTGCAAAAGTGTAACTCCATTGTTCCAAGGGGGATGTTTTATTGGAATTCCTTAATAAGTAATGTTAATTGGAAAAAAAACATGGTTGATTCCTCACAAATATTGTATCTCTAATAAGGCTAAAGAGGTCCACTTTAAACTTTTACACAATATTTACCCTACAAATTGTTTTGTTGCCAAATTTCTAGACATTGACACATGTTGTACCTTTTGTAAACAGAGCACTGAAACCATTCCTCATTTATTTTTTAATTGTCCAGTTACCAAAAAATTTTGGGATGATTTAGGTATTCATTTTCTCCATTCTCGAAATATAACTCACTCTTTCACCCTGAAAGATATTATCTGTTACTCTTGTTTTCCACAAGATGGCACCCTAGAGTTTGTCCTAAACTTTATAATCTTATATGCTAAGTTTTTTATACACAAACAGAAATTTAATAAGTCTTCCCTATATTTTAAACACTTTATTTTGGAACTTAATTTGCTTCTTAAATCACACGAACTTGTGAAGAACAAGAAGAACAGAAAACTTGTTTCTCAATATTTTGACCTATTCCCCAATTCCTCTTAACATCTTTATTATTTTTCCTCTTTCATTTACTATGTATGTATGTATGTATGTGTTTCTTTTCGTTGTTGTTATTTATTTATTTATTTATTTTGTATTTGTTTTGTTTTTGTTTTTTTCTTGCTTCTGTTTTTGGTATGGTTTTGTCTGTACAAATGCTTGATTGTATATTGATGTTCTTCTTGTTTGTACTAGTTATTGTTATCAATAAATTAAAAAATTGAAAAAAAAAAAAAAAAAAAACAAGTTTCCCGGGCACTTCCGGTTTACTTCCTGTTTCTGCCAAGAACATCCGGCGCAGGCTGAGTAGTGGTGTAAACACGGCTTTGGAATGGCAACATTCGACCGAAAATCTTGTTTAAAAATGGTGTTTTGACCATTCCGCATCCAAGTAAGGTAACATTATGGGCGGACAACATGTCGATATGGCCCAGCATCACAACATCCAAGATCTTTTCTTATTTTATTGATTCCAATTTCCATGGACCATGGCGGTGGACGGGAATGCATTTAATAACCTGAAAGGCTCAGAGGCGTTTCAGTACCTCCATTCCGTCAAAGTGGGCTGTGTACTTTTACACTTGGGCAGTTTAATTTATGTTCAATCAAGCCAGTCCGTTAACAATTCAGCGCATAACGCCTGGGTTTTGGTTACCAAGACGGGAGATGTGTACCTGTATCGCCGATTCGCCGGATCTGGACGTTCCTGTAGCCGTGCAGCCGGTGTGCTTTGGAAGGTACGTTAGCCCATTTTATGCTTGTATTAAGATGTTTGTATGTATCAGTGTGTTTATCTATAACAGAACACGAAGAGTAAAAAGTTATCCTCTCTAGCCTGCCTGCACTAAAAGCATGCTTTAACCCTTAAGTCGACTGACGCTCTAGAGCGCGCACCCCTGACATATCTATAGACCCTTTGCAACCACGTGACCACGACCACGTGACGACGCCATGCTGGACGGCAACATCACTGGATGCACAGGCTAAACACAGTAGTAGATGAGCGAGAAATTTGATTAGTTTTTAAAACAGTTTAACTTAGTATAGATAAGATACCACTAAACTGCATGGCTTCTACTGAAAAAGTTGTCGTGCCGTTATCGGTCGAGGTAGGGCATCTGCTAGGTCCTCACAAAGAGCGGTATTTGGAGAAGTTAGAGATCGCAGGTTTGGATACCGACCCATACCTTCTTCCTCCCTCAGCTTTTACGGAGCTCATTAAATCGCCGGATCTGCCCGACTTCGGCCCACACGATTTGTACCACTATGTGGTAAACGGGGTATCGCCATACACGGGAGCTGATCTCAAAGCATTTAAAAGTCTGGATGCTTACCAGTTCTTTGTAGCTGGCTGGGTAACAGGTACGCGATGCTACGCTAACGGCGGGGGGAGCTACCTCATAATGGCAAAGGTAAGACATCAATATATGGTTTATTTTGTATTAATATCTATTTTTTACTTAAGTAAATATTTATACAACACGTAGCCTATGATTTTAGAGGACATTGTCGGCCGTGGCTTTTAAATGGATGCCTGGACCATAGACTGTAAAAAGGCCTGGACGCATCCCTGCTCTGGGAAGTGCAGTCATTAATGATCGATCACACTTTAATCCATGCAGTAAACCACGGAGTATCCGTGATCAGTAATAGCCACATATAATTGAAACATTTAGCCATCTTTATGTTGTTATATTTACTGTAGCCTATGTTAAAATTTGACCTGGTAAACACAGCGTTGTGATTAAGATGTATTCACAAGGTGCATTTATGGTTTCACTGCAACAGTAAACAATAACATTTATGTAAGAATAATGTTTTTATGGCACTTTTTAATGTAGGTGCATTATAGCCAGTAAACAACGGAGTGTGATCAGTAGGCACACATAATTGTAACATCTAGCCATCTATATCTGTGATATTCACTGTAGCCTATGTTAAAATTTGGCCTGTTAAACAGCATTGTGATTAAGATGTATCCACAAGGTGCATGTATGGTGTCACTGCAGAAGTAAACAATAACATACATGTAAGAATAATGTATTTATGCCACTTTCTGTAATTGTAGGTGCATCATAGCCAGTCACTGTCTGAAACCCAACTTCAACCATGGGTATCTTTGAAGAAGGATGGGACAGTTTTGTGTGGCCATGTACATGTAAAGCGGGCCTGGGAGAGGTGTGCTCCCACGTAACAGCTTTGCTGTACGCAATAGACTCTGCTGTCAAACATCTGGGAGACAAAAGCTGCACTGATGGGCCCAGACAGTGGGGACTTCCTCCTTTGAAAGCAGGCAAGGCTTTGTACGAAGAAGGGTCAGGAATTGATTTCTCAAATCCTGCCAAAAAGCGTTGTGGTGTAAACAACCAAAGCCATTCAGGTTGTCCTTCTGGGAAAAGTGTGTCTGCAGCAGCTATAGAACAATTCTACAAGGCTCTGGATAATGCAACTCCAAACCCTTCTGAGAAGAGTGGTATACTACGCATATTGCCGCACTACTGTAAACAGTTTCAACCAAAGGTGGTGTCTCTGGGTCTACCACATCCCCTGACCGAGTTATACAGTGCTCAGAACCGGAAGCTGTCTGCCTCGGACCTTGAGAAGAAATGTGATGCAGTATTTAATGATATGGAAGTCACACCAGAGCAGGTATAGTCATCCCTCTTAATCTCATATGACTAAAATGTGCTTGAAGGTGTCATGTCATTAATTTCATCTTGTATAATTGACAATGTTGTAGGCAGTAAGAGTTGAGGAAGAGACACGACAACAGGGAAAGTCAAGGCTATGGTTTGACATGAGGGCTGGTAGGGTGACGGCATCTAGGTTCAAGTCAGCTGCAAGGACAGACCCTACAAATCCTTCAAAATCCCTAATTAGGCAGATCTGTTACCCTGACCTATGCAGATTTTCTACAGTTGCAACCAGGCATGTGTGACATAATGACACAAACAAAGATGTGCTTTGAACTTATGTTTCAACAATGGAAATGTATACATGTTGTGTTCTAATGTAGAGGGCCCCAGCTTTCTTAAAAAAAAAAAAAAAAACATCAAAGAAACAAACACAAGACAAAGAAATGTTTATCATTGGAAAATGTATTGCAGTCAGTATTACAAATTATCAACATTAAATTACAAACATGCATCCCTCAATCTCTTTGAGTGCCCTTACCTATTTTTAATAACTTAAACTTCCAACATGCCAGCTGTGTGGAAAAAAAGACTCGCGTCAGTTTCGAATTCTCTTTCAGGCTTGAATAAAACATAACACGTACAAATTATGCCAAAATGTCAGTTTTGTTGAGTGTCCTCATAAGATCAGTCTTAAATGATTTAAATAAAGTTTTAAATTAACATAGAGAGTGAAGTGCACACTGCCGCAACAGCTTTTTATAAGCGATGTAAAAAAAATTGTTTTCAAATTAGCGCCAATTCAAGGCACAATAACAAAACAGTGCTGCTACGCACAACCACCATTAAAGGGATAGTTCACTTTGAAATTAATTTTTGATGTGTTTTATATCTTACCTCAAGGGCATCCAAGATGTAGGTGTCTTTATTTCCACACCATTTTGAACTTTGACATTTTTCGGTCAAACCGTTCTTGTCTGTCAGGCATATAATGGAGGTCTATGGTCACCACCTCAGAGCATGCACAGAGAAGTCCAAATTAAACATGATTTAATGACTCGTAAATGTAAGTACACATTGATGGACTAAGACCAATCCAATGTCCAACTTGACCGAACTGAACCGTGTCCAACGTTCCGTCGGTAGTGATCGCTTGTGTGTGTACGTCACTCAATGTTTACACATAGATTTTGGACGTTTTACCTTTCACTAAACATATTTAGATATATCGAAATAGTAAAACTTCCGAAATCTCTGTGTAAACAATAAGTGACGTACATGCGCAAGCGATCACTACCGACGGAATGTTGGACACGGTTCAGTTCGGTCCAGTTGGACATTGGATAACTGATTCAGATCACTTGGATGTGGCTGTGGCTACACAAGGTAAAAACGATATAAATATTGTTCGTTTGAGGTAAGATAAAACTAATTAATTTCAAAGTGAGCTATCCCTATAATGCATGCCCGTGCAAACGCGCATTTTACTTTTGCCTTTAAATTAGTGAAATTTATCTTCACTGTCACATCCCTACTCCTAAGGACTGAAGTTTGAAGTCTGAACTTAAAAACAAATTGTGGCACAGGCATATCACTTATTCTCCTCATTTATTCTAAGTGAAATAATTGATCTATTTTTCAGGGGTGAATGTCTGTATACATTTTAAAATTATATATTTATGGTAGAATCAAATGTTGTTTGTCTTTTGTATTGCCTTATCTACAACACATGAGTGTAATAAGATAAAGGCAGTACAGGAGAGAGACATTTATTTGATTTCAATGAAATCAAAAAGCCAAAATATTGGCATATCGAATATTGGCCAACATCTAATATTGTGCATCCCTATTCCTGTTATATTTAATTCACATATTTGTAAACGACTATGATAGAATAAGAATATGATACAAGAGAATATTATGTGCTATTAAAATTAGGCCAATTTTGGGTACTGACATCTATAGTACTTATAGTTCTTAGGAAATGAGAGAACAAATCCAATGAAAAGAGCACTCAAAGAGTTACGATGACTTAATAACATTATTTTTCTAATTTACAGATGGGGATGTGAACATGAACAAAAAGCCAGAGAAACGTATGAGGCGTACGCTGCACAACATCATCAAGACCTAAGTGTTCGTGATGCCGGTCTCCACATTGATACCTCCCGTCCCTACCTTGGAGCATCTCCAGATGCCTTGGTGTCCTGCTCCTGCTGTGGCGATGGTATTTTGGAAATCAAGTGCCCACACTGTGCCAAAGACACCGGAGTCCTCAGTGCCACTGAAAAGAAACATTTCTGCATTGAGAACACAGATGGTACACATGCACTTAACAGAGATCATCAATACCACTACCAGGTGCAAGCCCAGTTCTTTGTTACGAGGTGGAAGTTTTGTGACTTCATGGTGTGGTCTACATCTGATTTTTTCATTCAGAGAATTTTTCCTGATGCTGACTTTTTTACAGAAGCAGTGCAGAATGTCGAGTCTTTCTATAGGTCAGCCATTTTATCCGAGTTATTGGCTAAGACGTATACATGTCCAGATAGACTGCTGTCAGACAAAACACAGTCCACAGAGTAGTAGGGTGTTGTTCAAAACGAAGTGAACAACGAGAATTGTTGGCTCTTTGTAAATTATAGTGTTGTCTAGACCTACTCTAGTTGTAAAGTTTTTCGAAATAACTCTTGTTATGATTTGATACTACTAATAAAATTGAATTGAATTATTTAGTAAGATTTGCCCGTGTGTAATTCTACATACATTTAATATCCTTTTATAAGGGACAACAGGACGGTCAAAAGGTTGAGCGCTGGTTTATTTTACAAAAAACATCTTTCAACACGTTTATAAAAGCCAACCTAAATTACATAATGTACACTCATATACAACTTCTTTTATCAATCAATCAATCAAATTTTATTTGTTGAGCGCTTTACATCAACCAAAATGTGCACAAGGCGCTTTCCAGTAAAAACATCAATAAACAACAATATATAAAAACATAAGAGTAGATAAAATAGCAGTTGAAACAGGACGGAAGCTACATATTAAAAGCTTGTCTGAATAGACGTGTTTTCAACTGCGATTTATAATGTTTGTCCTGCATGTTTCAATTAAACATAGTGTGAATGTGTTAGGGAACTGACACATGACAAATTTTTACTTTTTCCAATATAGGTTCTATGCAACTTATAACTTAACTCATTTCATTTCAGCTGATTTTAATGGATGAGTAAAGAATTGATTGTTAATGTGCTAGTACAACTATTTACACTGGAAATTGTTACTCAAAGTGCTTTCAAAAAACTTAAAAACCTCTCTGTTAAAGAATAACTGGGGTTTTTTTTCAGCTTATCTATTGGCACCACTAAGGGGCACAGATTCGTTAGGGCACAAGCCACTCTAACTATTTTGTCAAGAGAAGTGAACTCCTCTTCTTCTGATGACTTAATCAGAAGACTAATGGCACAGGTCCATGCAACATTCTGTACTTGGATCGTGCTTGACCAATTACCCCTCTCAACGTGTATGCGGACTGCTGCAAGTTTCTGGAATCTTCCAGTTCGACAGCGCCCAGCTGTTTTTTCGCCCGTGTAAAGGCAGGAGTTTCAACCCTGCACAGTACAAGGCCAACTTGTTCCTGAATCCTAAAGCCACGGTCTGCTAGGATCAAGTCTCCTGGTGGAGATTATCCAAAAACCACTGTTTGCTGTAATGTGGACATCAGTTGACCGCCCACCCCAGCCCTTGGAGATGAAGGAGATTATCCCTTGTGGAGTATAACCTATTAGTATTTATGGGTTTTGTGTGATTTATACTGAGAGTATGTCTGGGCCTTGCCTTCAGATCTTTAGTCTGTCAATGGTAATTTCAAAACAGTCTATT